AAAACACGATTTTTTTTTGTCATCTGTTACATCATCATTAGAAATATTTGATATAATAATATTATGACGTAGACTACTTGCAACATATGCGATTACGAAAAAATTTCTTCTTAGTATTTCTTTATGTTAAAAAAAGTTAGAAATAAAAAATTAAATTTATTTTGTTTGACTTTTATGAAACAACAGAACCGAAAATCTAAGAATATAATTAAGCAAAAGAAATCTTGGTTTTCAATTTTATTAAAAGGAGAGAAACAAAAGAAACTAAGTAATGTAATTTTATAGGTTTTCATTTGTTTACGAAATTCAACGATAAGAAATTTTACTACAAAAAAACATAGCGATTTTCGACGTCTTTTTGATAAAATTTTCTCAATAGGGATGCCACATATAGTTGGGAATTCGTCGGAACTTTGTCGCGAGAATTTCCAACAAATTTCCGACAATTTTTCCAACAAATACTGATTTTCGACCAGCCATTCTCGATGATCTTTTTGCATCGTAAATTCGTCGGAAATCTCTAGGTTTTCTTGTAATTATTTTTTTTGTTATGGTTTTCAAAATTTTACGAAAAATGAAATAAATTTTAAGTCAGGACTATCTCTCCTACAATTGTCTGGGGAAAATTGATTTGGTTCAAACAAGGTATCCCCCGTTGCGGTTTTATTACATGGTTGGCGGTGAGAGATAGGTTATCTACGGTGTGCGAATGCGTAATTGGGGAGTGAATCAACCATGTGTTTGTGCGGCGAACGCGATGAGACTCGGGATCACCTCTATTTTGCATGTCCTTACTCTTTTACGGTCTGGTCAGAGATAGCTAGAAAACTACTTCGACAACAGCTAGACCCGGATTGGGATATCACCTTACACTGTCTGGTTGCACGGGACGGACACAGTGAAGAAGACATTCTTCTTCGTCTCTGTTTTCAAATCACAGTCTATTATATATGGAGAGAGCGGAACGCTCGCATACATAGCGGTGTCTATTCCTCAGCCCCACAGATGGTCAAGCTTATTGACAAGATTATACGCAATAGGATTGCATCATTGAATTACACATCTCATCCTCATCTTCGACTCCTACTCCAGAGATGGTTTGCCGCAGCTCCAACATGAGGAAGATCTTTTTTCTACCAAGTGTTTACTTTGTATTTGATTCGTAGGCAGTTTAATTGTTTCTCTTTTTTTAAAAAAACTATGTACATATTTGCAAGATCAATGAATTATACATTTAATCAAAAAAAATAAAGAATACACAAAACAAAACATAAATGAAAACTAACAAAAAAATAACATGGGATACGAGCGTTTAAATTCTGATTCCAAATTATATAAACTGGGATATTACAAGTTTATGGTTCACTTGGTTTCAAGAGTTTATAGCTTTGAATGCGGAATAGGATGAGATTTGATAGTTGAAGACACAACTTGGATGGTGATTCAAAGGTAGAGATTTGGCTTCCGGAGGGGACTTCACACGAAGAAGAACAAAACTCAACCAACTCTCAAGCAAGCGAGATAATTTGATTAATGAGATACTCCCCCTCGAAAATAATGAAAAATTAAAGAAGTATGAAAGATATGAAGAGAAGAGTTCTCATTTGAGAACATTTAATGTGGTATACTAATTAGAACTTCTTTTTACACTTTTTTATTCCTAATTAGTTCATTTCTTAGTTTAAAATTAGATATACAATTAAACTATATTAAAATATTAATACTTTTATATATGTTGAGATATCCATTTGGGTACCTAAACCATTACATATGTTCTTAGGATCCAAATTAATTTTAAAATAGGGCCTTTATTATATGTTGTGATCATGAATACATAATTTTTTGCGTAATAGGAGGTAATTGGATAAAGATGTGATAGCTAGGGTTGGAGACAGAATGGTTAACTCTGAAATTTGCAATACTTTTTATCCCATCCGTTACGTGTAATAATTTTTAGTATTTATACATGATTGAAAAAACAGGTACCCAAACAAACGGATATCTTCTAAAAAAGTAGATAATCACGAGTTATACGAGCTAGTAGTCTGGTATTCTTTTTTCCGAGGCAGGTAACTGGTTAGTGCAAGCCAAATAAAGCCAAATAAAGAAGACAAGGTCTCCTAAAAGGCGAATAGGCTGAGTGATTAAATTATTTAAACTACGGAATGATCTTGGTGGTCACTGAAGATATTACCTGAAATAAAGTGTATAATGGTTCCGTCTTTTAAAAATATTAGATTATTGAAGAATTTTTTTTTTTAATGTAATGTTAAATTATATTTTAAAAAAAATAAACGTTGTTACAAATTACAACTAGTGCAACGTATGTTAAATTATATTCAAAAAAAGAATTTGTTTACTTATGTGATATAGTTTAGTAATACGGAAACGACCGATCGATCTCAATTGATCACTTGTTCCTCATGACTCTTCTACGATGTAGATAATGAGCAAAATGTAAGTATGTAACTACCATGTAGTCATATATTGAACATATTATTATACATGCATATATTTAAAGTTTAAATCCAAACATACTTTTACAACACGAACTTAAAAATAAAACATAAGCAATACACAAAGCAATCTTTTATCTTTGTACTGACTTTTCCAACCATGGTAATTATGCATCATTTTTAGACTTTTAGTGACCAGGCTCAGTACTCTGTTGCTGAGTTTTAACAGCCTGACCAGCATAAGAACAACACCTGGAGCAGCCACCGTAGTAGCCTCTGTAGCAGCAGCCGTAGCGACAATATCCTCCTCCTCGGTTTCCATATCCACCACCGCGGTTTCCATATCCTCCACCACGGTTTCCATATCCACCACCGCGGTTTCCATATCCTCCTCCACGGTTTCCATATCCACCGCGGTTTCCATACCCTCCACCAGGGTTTCCTCCATACCCTCCTCCTGGGAACCCTCCTCCCGGGAACCCTCCAAATTGCTCAGTTTGCTTTACTTCGTCTCCCCCTGTTAGTCAAAATGGATATATATATATGTTCGTAATTTTTCTTAATGATATATTCAAAAAAATAAACGTTGTTACAACTAGTACAACTAGTACTCATCATTATGAGTTTTTGTAATTAAAGCAGACAAAAATTATTTGAAGGTTTGTGAATAAGGATTAGGTCTTTTGTCGATTACGGAAACTTTCTTTTAAGTATCTTTTATGTAAAGAAAATTTATAAACAAGAAATGAAATTTATTTTGTTTGGCTTTTATGAACAACAGAACCAAAAATCTAAAAAGTAAGAATTATGCAAAACAAATCTTGGTTTTCAATTTTATTGAAAGGAGATAAACAACATCAACTAAGTAATGAAATTTTATAGGTTTTATTTTGTTTATGAAATTCAATAATAAGCAATTCACTACAAGATAACTTAGCGATTTCCGACGTCTTTTCGACAAAACTTTCTCGATACAGATCCCACATATTGTCGGAAACTCGTCGAAAAAAGTTGTTGGAACTTTGTCGCTAGAGTTTTCAACAAATTTCCGACGATTTTTTCCAACGAATACTGATTTTTGACCAGCCATTCTCGACGAAATTTTTGCTTTGTAAATTCTTTGGAAAAGTTTGTTTTCCGATGAACATCTGTCTTCTGACGCTTTCGGTTGTCGGAAATCGCTATATTTTCTTGTTATGAAATAATTTTTTGTTATAGTTTTCAAAATTTCATGAAAAAAATAAAACAAGAATACACAAAAAAAAAGCATACAAATGAAAACTAACAAAAAAATAAATGAGATAAGAGCGTTTATATTCTGACTCCAAATGATATAAACTGGGAAATTACAAGTTTATGGTTCACATGGTTTTATAGCTTTGAATGCGGAATAGGATGAAGATTTGATAGTTGAAGACACAACTTGGATGGTGTCATGGTGATGCAAAGGTAGAGACTTGGCTTCCGGAGGGGACTCCACACGAAGAAGAACAAAACTCAACCAACTCTCAAGCAAGGAGAGATAATTTGATTAATTGATACTCCCCCACGAAAAAAGTGAAAATTAAAAGGTATGAAAGATAAGAAGAGAAGGTTTCTCATTTGAGAACATTTAATTAGGTATACTAATTAGAACTTCTTTTTTCACTTTTCTATTCCTAATTAGTTCATTTCTTAGTTTAAAATTAAATATATAATTTAACGATATTAAAATACTAACACTTTTATGTTGATATATCCATTTGGGTATCTAAACCAATAGAGATGTTCTTACGATCCAAATTGATTTTAAAATAGGGCCTTTATTATATGTTGTGATCATGAATACATATATTTTTTTGGAATAATAGGAGGTAATAATTAGATAAATATGTGATAGGCTAGCTAGGGTTGGAGAGAGAATGGTTAACTCTGAAATTTGCAATACTTTTTATCCCATCCGATCTTCACGTGTAATAATTTTTAGTATTTATACATGATTTAAAAACAGGTACCCAAATATTCGGATATCTTCTATAAAAGTAGATACTCTCGAGTTATACGAGTAGTCTGGTATTCTTTTTTCCGAGGTAGGTAACTGGAAGTGCAAGCCAAATAAAGAAGACAAGGTCTCCTAATTAGATTATTGAACTACGGAATAATCTTGGTGGTCAGTGAAGATCTTACTTGAAATAAAGTGTATAATGGTTCCGTCTTTTAAAAATATTAGATTATTGAAATTTTTTTTTTTTTTTAATGTAATGTTAAATTATATTAAGAAAAAATTAACATTATTACAACTGGTGTAACGTATGTTAAATTCTATTCAAAAGAAGAATTCATTTACTTATGTGGGTGTAACGTATGTTAAATTCTATTCAAAAGAAGAATTCATTTACTTATGTGATATAGTTTAGTAATACGGAAACGACGGATCGATCTCAATTGATCACTTTGTTCCTCATGACTCTTCTACGATGTAGATAATGAGCAAAATGTAAGTATGTAACTACCATGTAGTCATATATTGTACATATCATTATACATGCATATATTTAAACTTTAAATCCAAACATACTTTTATTACATGAACAGAGATTATCACAAAACAAACTTAAAAATAAAACATAAGCAATACACAAAGCAATCTTTTATCTTTGTACTGACTTTTCCAACCATGGTAATTATGCATCATTTTTAGACTTTTAGTGACCAGGCTCAGTACTCTGTTGCTGAGTTTGAACAGCCTGACCAGCATAAGAACAACACCTGGAGCAGCCACCGTAGTAGCCTCTGTAGCAGCAGCCGTAGCGACAGTATCCACCACCGCGGTTTCCATATCCACCACCACGGTTTCCATATCCTCCACCACGGTTTCCATATCCACCACCGCGGTTTCCATATCCTCCTCCACGGTTTCCATATCCTCCTCCACGGTTTCCATATCCACCGCGGTTTCCATACCCTCCACCAGGGTTTCCTCCATACCCTCCTCCTGGGAACCCTCCATACCCTCCTCCCGGGAACCCTCCAAACTGCTCAGTTTGCTTTACTTCGTCTCCTCCTGTTAGTCAAAATGGATATATATTCGTAATTATTCTTAATGATATATTCGGATATCGTCACTATCTTATTTCTGATCAGAATGAGTTTTTGTAATTAAAGCAGACCAAAATTATTTGAAGGTTTGTGAATAAGAATTAGGTCTTTTCACGGTAAAAGAAAATTTTCTGCATAGTAGAGATAAGAAGATGAGATAGTCATGACCAATAAACAAACTTTAAAAGTGATCTATCGAATAATAAATAGGTTTCAACTTTCAAGAATACTCAAATGGCGTTGCATGCTTTCACGGTCGTTATGTTACTACAAATATACAATGATTTTGAGTATTATATAACTTTATACGAACAATAATCAAACTAGTCTGAATTTATTACGTACCTTTGTTTTTATACTCTGCCGATTTTTCAGCGAGGTCTCTGGCTACCACCTCAGACGCGATGAGAAGCACAACAATGAGACTTAAAAAAAGAAAAGCTTTTGAAGCCATTGTAGGCGACGATCTCTTAAAAACACTACTTTTGTAATTGTTATATATAAGGTATTCGAAAAATATTGTTAAGAAAGAACTGGTGAGTATATTGTCCCATGCAAAACCTCTATTTATAGATCGCAAGGTAGAGTGTACGTGCAAGTAAATGCTACTTGCGATAATTTGCAAAAACGAGTGGATAAGTGCAAATTGGTCATCGCGAGGGCCCTTGTACGGTTGGTTGTTGGATTGGTTGTAAATTTTTGCACCATGATAATTAAAGTTCTTGCTGATTTTTATGACTTTTTCCTATTAATCTAGTACTACTTCTTTTAGTTCTTGCTTATTTTATGTTCTTGTTTATTTTGCTTTGTTTTTATTTTATGTACTTTTTAGTTTATTTTGGGAGAAATGTTAAAGATGACTCTATTAGAGGATCCAAAAGAAGCCCAAAAACTATGTCTCAAGAGAAGCTCGTTAGTTTATGGAATTATGTCTAAGCAAGTAGATTCATATATATAGTTTTGTAATGACATCAAAGTTGTTAACTTTGAGAGTTGCCACTTGGAGCAACCCTCATCTAAACCCTTTTACGATATATCGTCAATCAAAGATTTACTAAAGTTGATGTTCTTCAATTAAGCTTTCTATATATCCTTTTAGTTTCTTTGCACAATAAAGCTCTTCATGAGCTATCTAATTTCATAGCTTATTATCTATCTTTAAAAAGTTTGAATCTTTCTTATTTTAGATTGCTTTCAGACTCAATATGCAAAAATAACCCCATTAACAAAATATTTTAGCAAACGGAACTTTAACCAAAAAACAAAATCAAAAAGAGCGAATTAAATGGCTGTAGGAATTACAAAAACATTCTTATGATGACTAATAAAAAATATATAGGTCAATTATAGATACAGTTAAACCTCTATCAATTAATACTCGATAAATTAATAAACACTATAAATTAATAAAATTGTCCGGTCCCAAGTCGGGCCAATGTAAAATTTGACAAAATTCGATAAGATAATAAGATAATAATTTTTTTAGAATCTCTATGTAAATATATAGTCCCATAAATATCCTAAATTAATAATCATGTAAATTTTTATACATATATATATATATATATAAGTTGTTATACTAAGGTATGCTTTTAGTTATTTTTTTATTAAATTGAATTTTCGTTAGAACATATGTCTAACTTTTATTGAATAAAATAATTGGTCTATTGTGGTTTTAAATTATAGTGGTGTAGAATCTCTATAACTGTATTATAAAATAGTCAAGATTTTCTGTAAGTTTTTAATTTTTGAATATGCATCATTTCATTACGATAGTCTTATAGCTGTTAAAATACGACAATTGAGGTCATTAATCATAAATTTGAATTTACGTATATCGTTTGTATAAATAAATTCATCTATAGTCTTTGTAATCTTATTGTATGTCTAATTTATTTTCGAAAAAGTTTTTTTCAAACTATTAAAATTTCAAGTCCAAAACTACAAAATTTATAAATTCATTTCTTTCTAGAATTAAAACATCTCTTTATAAATTAATAAATATTAATTTACACTATAAATTAATAAAATATCATAGTCCCAACAATATTAATTTATAGAGGTTTTACTGTATAACCTAAATCTAAGAGTAAATGCATGCCATACTAATTCTGCCATTCTTTTATTATTTCCGACGTCTTGATTCTGCATCTTTTATTTCACTTTATCCATCTGTTTTCCCTTATTGTATAGAGTTTTTTTTTTTGGTAAGATCTGTATTGTATAGAGTTTCGCAGGAGACACACGTCTTCTTGTAAACTGAGAACAATCTTGCTGGTACTGGAACTCGAATACTAAAAAGAACAGAACAGTTTTGCTTCTCTTATTAGTATTGGATTCATTGGACTTGTCTCTGCTGTTGTGTATTAATTCTTACATGAGATAATGATAGTTATTCATCAGGAAAGTAAAATACAAAATGACATTTAATCGTCATTTATAAAAATAATAACTTTAGGATAAGTTTTCCTTTTGAACTAAGGAATATAATTGCGAAGAAAAAAAAATCTAAGGAATAAAATAATCATCTAAATTAAAAATAACACACTCGCAGAAGTATGCTTTTTTTTTTCTTTTATTATTGCATTCCAGATTGACTTCCATGTCCTGATATATGCAATTACTACGTAGACTGTTGGGTGGATCCTCGAGCATTTATTGACATCACTTGGGATGTCGACATTTTCTTATAATTTTCATAAATAAAATTGTTTGAGGATATGATACAGCAATAATATTGATACAAACCATTATAACACATATAATGGTCAACTACATATCAAATTGTTTATCAAAAAAAAAAAATGGAAGATGGAAAATCCCACTAAAATATATCAAGTATTTTCAATTTTTCTTTAAGTACATAACTTTTTTGATTCCACATTAGTACACCAACTAATATTTTCTTCCATTTTGGTTTATTCTAATTGAAGAAAATATTAGTTGGTATATTAAAATGCGAGTTGATAAAATTCATGTATTTTAATGGGAAAAAATATTTGGTGTAGAATTATAAATTTTATTTTTTATACAATTTTCTGAAACTATTGTGACAAATATTTTTTAAATCTATACATTTAGCTACTGCTATATTTAAATTCATATTTATTAATATTATATAACTAAATCTTAAATATAATAAACAGAAGATCATGTATGAAAATATTTATCAAATATAATGGCATTGGAAAAAATGTCCTTCAAATGAAATATACCATTTTCGATATTTTGTCCAAAATTTCAAAATAATCTTGTAAATGAAAAATATTTATGAGTAATACTACATAATGGCCAAATTTTCAGTCAAAATTAAGTAAATAACCATTGACAGTTTAAATGATCACTATATAGCGGCAAAATAAAAGATCAAAATATAGTGTACCTACAAATTGAAGCAAGAGCATGATTTTGCAAAGAAAGAATAATAGATTTGAGCGATTTTAACAAATTGAGTGGAACATGTTAAAATAACATGAAATTTATTATAAAAGCTACATTTTACAAAACTAGCATTTTCTATAAAATAATATCATTTCATTTAAAAGATGTCATGCGAAACAAGAAAAAATAACATGATATATATTATAATAGCGTGTCAAACAAAAAATATTGTTTAATATAAAAAATAACATGAAATTTCACAAAAACTATTCATTCTTAAATGTGGATTACCATCATAACCACGGCCAACATATGGAAAGTGTGGTGGACGAGACCCTAAGGGTTGTGGTTACTGCAAAAACAGTGGTGATGTTGGTTATCCCAACGACGATCATTAAGGAGAGATGGAATACATATAGAGAATGTTAGATATGACGGAAAAAAAGTTTTATCATTATGGCTAGGAAAGTCGATATACAACATTTAAAGTTTGAAAGGTAAATGTAAGAAAAAAATCTACAACATAAGAAAAAATATATGTGAAAAGGTAAATGTCAAGTATTGAAAAAAAAAAAAAAAAAAAAAAAAAAGAAGAGAGCATGCCCAAGCATCCAGTATAAGAAAGTTTGTAGCATCTATAGTTGCGTTGTTAGTCATGCAAAGAAAAAATCAACACTCAGAGACAGGGTTTCCATTTTCTGGGAAGGTCACATAGTCAGAGAGATATTTCATCATTAAGCCAACAATAACAAGAAAACAGAGCCTAAGGTCTTTATGAACTCGAAAAATCTAAAGAAATCAAATTTTAATGAAGGGGTCATCACGTAAAAGAAATTTTTGATCCATGAGGAGGTCGATTGATATATAATGGACTTTACTATTTTTAGCAATGATATATGTATCGGTTTTAGAGTATTTTTGTTATTTCTAGAATCTTTTCTAGTCATTTTCAGGTTTTTACACGTTCGGAATACATTTGGAGATAAGGAAGCATTCTGGAGCTAAACCAGTGAATAAGCACTAAAGAAACGAATTCATTGTCAGACAAAAGCAGGAGTGTCGACCGACACCCCCTGGTCTCGATCAACACCGTACGCGGCCAACAAAAGTCTTGACAGTTTAAGAGTTTTGAAGCCTACAGAATCGGCCCAGAAGACTTCTCTATTTACAATTTTAGCCCCTTCACGTTTTTGAGACATTATAAATATATTTTAGGGTTTTTATTATTGAGAGAGAACAACTTTGCAATCTTCTTTTCTACTTTGTAATTCTCTGAACTTGAACCCTTTGGAATATAATTGGAGATAGCTACTTTCAGAGATTTCAAACCCTTGTAGAGAGAAGATCTTTTCTAACTCTATTCTTCTTTTAATTTCATTAATTATTGCAATCTTATTCAAATATGTTTTCTGTTTCATCAATCATGTCTCATTAATTCCCTTTTTGGTTTAGGGATTCTCCTTAGGGATTTAGATGAATTAATGCTAGTTCTAGAGTAGCTAACTAGAACTTGATCTTAGGATAATAGGTTAGACACGAGAGTGCGCCTGTTACTGCAACTATCTTAGGTGGACAAAAATTACTAGATTCAGACGAGAGTTGTAATACGAATCTTTGTGAACATATCAAACCGGATTTTAATGCCAGTCTAATATTAGGAGTTTATAGACGAGTGTTGGAACTTCCTACTATTAGATTTAGTTAGTCAATTCAAGCGAGAGTTGGTTGGCTATAGCTTAGTGATTTGAGTTCTAGAACGATTCGATAATAATCTTATTTAATTGCTAGATCTACTATTTGTTTATTTCCTGAAAAATTCTCTAAACATGACGCTTTAATCTATCTGAACTTTCATCAATTTAATTGCTTTTCTTTATTTCAATTTTTCATATTTTATTTAGCTTAATTTCGAAATTGCTAGTTTTCCATGTGAATAAAAGAATTTTGTGGAATTCGACCCTTAAATAATACAATGATCTCTTATTTAAAAGAGTAAACTTGAGGTCTAATTTGATCCATATCATCGATCGATCCATGATGGAGACCGACGATCCAGTTCTCCTTTTACTTGGTCATAGCTTGTGGGGACTGATCAGTCCCTTGTGTGGACCAATCGGTCTGAGTTTCTTTTTTTTCTTAAACCGAAACACCGAATCATTACAAAGAGGGTCAAATTTCTGAAACTTAAGTAAACCCGACAAAATAAGTTACTAATATCTTTTGGCGCATCAAATATTTTGAGATTATTTATGGTACTTTAGTATATTTAAGTTGACTTTGGAAGTGTTGCTGTATGCAAAATCGCGGTAGAGTGTCTAGGGTTTGTTTGCATCAATTTGTTTTTCTTCGACCCCAAGAGTATGAATAATGAAATAAAAACTTAAGATAATAGTAAAACCACAGAAGAGATTTTATTACGCAAACATGGCAGATTACAACTCAACACACATAAACATTACATTATTAAACTTTATTCCCATATTACTCTTCTTAAGGTACTTCATTACAAACGCACCATCATTAAGTTACCTATAGTCATATGCACATAAGTGTATATTTAGATACCATAATGCATGGTGGTCAACTTATTATACTGTTTAGTGACCAGGCTGAGTCTGAACAGCTTCTCCGGCATAAGAACAACACCTTGAACAGCCACGGTAACCTCTGTAGCAGCAGCCATAGCGGCAGTAACCACGTCCGTGTCCTCCACGGCCTCCTCCATTGTAACCTCCTCCTCTGTTGTAGCCTCCTCCGTTGTGTCCTCCTCCATTGTAACCTCCTCCTCCGTTATAGCCTCCTCCTCCGTTGTAGCCTCCTCCTCCGTTGTAGCCTCCATGACCGCCATGGTCACCACCATATTGATCAGTTTTCACGGTTTCCTCACTCTCGGACTTAACTGTACCTATCCAAAACAACACATAATTTCAAAAGATATTACTCTCCCAAATTTCAAAACTATTTTTTCACTTACACAAACTTTTAAAAATACGAATGTAATTAAAATTTTAATTTAAAAATAATATTAACAACATAAAATACGTTCTATGGAAAACATAAAAAAAATTCTGATACATGTAATAAGGTTTCAACATTATATTTACGTACCGGATGCAGCAGCGGCGACTTCTGATACGACGAGAAGAACTGCAAATAGACCCAACAGAACTAAAGCCTTGGAAACCATTTTCTTACAAGTACTGTTTACAACACTCTTTTTATGGAAAACACAAGTGAATATATGAAGTGATGGATAAAATGTTACTCTTGTATGCGCTCTATTTATAGAAAACGTGAGAGGAGAGACTGAAAGAAAGTCAAATAAACTAAATAAACTAATCAGTAGTGAAGGGAGTTTTTTAGTCATACTATATACAAAGTGGTAAAGGAGATAAGTATGAAAGTATATGCACACGTCGATTAACTCGGTGCTCTTATGGTTGGTTGTTGTTGGATTCACGGTAAATAAATTTTGAAACCCCATTAATGATATAACTCCACTAGTCTTTATATATAACTCTATTAACTTCTTAAACTCAGCGCATTCACACACATATAGACACCTAGATTCGTTGGCCAAAAGAAAAAAAAAACTTAAGAAAGATATCTAGAATTCTATAATTGGACTGGAACATTGCAATTAACATAGCCGATAAATAAAATATCTAATTTTAATACTATTTTAACAGAATTTGTATTTGATAACTGTAATTAAATCTATTTTATACAGATTAAATACTTTTTTTTGTATCAAAATTATATAAATAATTTCATACAAATATATAATAATATATATTTGTTTCGTACACACTTTCGAGAAACACATCAATAAACACATTTTGACGCTTTCGTTCCTCCAACTATAATCTGAACTCATGTTGTTTCAAAGAAGATTTTAACCCCTAATTCTATCACTAAGAGTCTAAGATTTAAAAATCACCGCACTAGATTTGACATCCACAACTTCTTAGTTCGTACAACGTGGGTGCCTCATCTGGCAGTGATGGCATGATAAAACACACAAAAAAAAAAAAAAAAAAATTAAAGTGTCAGCAAATTAAGATGTATTTATATAAAGTATTGTAAGCTTATTTTTTTGTGCGTCTTAAGAAAAATATAACGAGCCATTGATAAAGATCGTTTTATCACTTCCAAGAGGTTCCACAACGTTTTCTTAAATTAATGTGACAACATTTAGATAGCTGTCGTACGTGGCCTGAACGTAGGCATTGTCAATGACGTGATTTTGATCGTTTTCGTATTCGTGAAAGTGATCGTGGAAAATGACGTAACTATAACGTTTTAAGGATCTCTTTCATACACACATTTCATGTTTACGTCCATGTCCATGCAACTGATTATTATCAAACTATGTTTAGTCCTTTTTTCCGTATTATTACCAAACTATTTTAAAATTAATCAAGTGCTCGTGGTCTAGTGTTTATGTTGAATCATGTTTTGGTTAACGAGATTTATTTGTTGATTTCTCCGGATTTTGTGTTAATCGATCTCTGATTTTCTTATGGATTACAAGATTCTTCTTTGGATCAAATTTATTTACTTTTTGAAAGAAAGAAAAAAATCACTAAAGTCTCCGATTAGTAAAGAGTCTTGTTTTGCCAGTCTTCAACTTTTGATTTTGTTATTATAAGATAACCAAGAAATTATATTTTCATTTTTGAAAAGTCTTTATCATATCAATAGTACAAATATGTAATTATTATTGGCCGGTGGGGTATTACGACTAGATGCTTTACATGAAGACCGGTGAAACTACTGATACTATGAGTTTTAATATCTTTGGGCACATCAAATATTCTAAGATATTTTTTTTGGTACTTTCATATATTTAGTGAAGTTTGAAATGTTGGTGACAAATCCTCAATAGAGTCTCTAGGTGTCTGGTCTTTTCATTAATGAAAAGTAATTGCATGGCCAGAGACATGTTTACATCTAGTTTTCTCTCCCACCCTGAGAGTGTGAATAATGATATAACACTATATATTTCAAAAAAAACGAAAGAAATTAACATAAACTACACACTATTTTATTATGCAAACAGCAGGAATTAAAACTCAAACCACATAAAACATTACATCATCAAACTTTATTCCCATAGTTCTCTTCTTAATCTATATTGCCTCAAAAACTTGAGGCACTTCATTACAAACGCACCATGGTTTACTTAAAATCACACACACATAATGCAATCATGCATGGTGGTTACTGGTGAATATATTGTTTTAGTGACCGGGCTGAGTCTGAACAGCTTCTCCGGCATACGAGCAGCACCTTGAGCAGCCACGGTAACCTCTGTAGCAGCAGCCGTGGCGGCAGTAACCTCCTCCTCCTCCGTGTCGCCCACCGCCTCCTCCTTGATATCCTCCTCCTCCGTGGCCACCACGGCCTCCTCCTCCTTGGTATCCTCCTCCTCCTTGGTAACCTCCTCCTCCTTGGTAACCTCCTCCATTGTTTCCTCCTCCTCCTTGGTAACCTCCTCCATTGTTTCCTCCTCCTCCTTGGTAACCTCCTCCGTTATTGTAATTTCCTCCATTGCCACCGTAGCCACGTTGATCAGGTTTCACAGTTTCCTTACTCTCCGAGTTCACCGTGCCTGTCCAAAACAACACATTATTTCAAACATAATGTTTAGTTCGTGTAAACGTACATGCCTCTCCACGGTACTAAAATCTGTCCGGATCTATTGTTTTTTTAAAATATTATAACATCATATATTGAAGATTATTGATATATTCGCACAAAGCATTTGAATATTTTGAGATGGTCTGATAGGTACGGTGTAATGAAGATTAGACATCGTACTTAAGTGTTTTGACTTTAGTGACTCCAAATAATTGAGCGTTGTTGAAACCAACAGCCCGGATTTAGAACGGACAAATCGTAGGATAAAATCATCAAATGGTACGTTAGTTCTAGTTCGATTAGCCTCACTAACATATCTCTCTTCTTTAATAGCATCAAAAGGAAGAAATATATAGACTTAAATATATATAATTATTTTAAGTACCGGATGATGCCGCGGCCATTTCTGAGACGACGAGAAGAACAGCAAAGAGACCCAACAGAACCAAAGCCTTGGAAGCCATTTTTTTTTCAAATGCTTAAAATCTCTTATTATGGAAAGACAAGTGATGGATAAAATGTTACCCTGCATGGCCTCTATTTAAAGAAAACGAGGAGGAGGGAATGAGAAAAGTCAAATAACTTATCCGTAATCCAATATAAAAAAAAAAACGAATTTATCACAATTAAAACAAAGTAGAAAAGTCTAAGTATATATGAGTTTAATTGCGTCGGTCCCCTTATGGTTGGATGTTGGATGCATTGTAGATACTTTTGATACTCCATAAATGGCAACCCCACTAGTCTTTTGGATATTTCGATAACCTTTTTAAACCCAGCGCATTGACATACATATTGATATATATGCAAAAACTTCATTATTGGATTATCATTGTTAATTTGTTTTTGGACAGAAAAGTCGTCCACTATTGGTACTTGTTATGGATCCGATTCTCTTTCCAATCTTAGTCGACATATTTTAAGTAAGTAGAGCATAGAAGGGCTACTTACGGCCGACTTTAAAAGGGTGCAAAGTTTTGCTTAGCTAAACCCTAATTTTCACTTATGTCGACTGAGATCATTTTCTCCAACTCACTTAAGCGACTGAGATCTTATTAAAGGTCACTGAGTTTATGCATGTAAATTATGTGATTAATATTTGGATACATCTTGAGATGAGTTGGTTTTGTTTTTTAGTAAATGTGGAGACTTTTCCATTCATAAAAATAATTCCAAAATATATTCAAATCAAATTTTTAATAACCACCATTATTCTAGAAAAAGCTTAAAAAAACCTCATCTATTTTTTATTTGGACGTTTAATACCCAATATTTTTTTGTTGGAATAAAAATATACATAATAATTAAAGCGTGCGATTTAATACCCAAAAAAATAAACGTTGTTATTTTCATACTCACGATCTGACAACAAAAAATAAATTCCAATTTTACCCTTATCATTTCTATTAATTATTCATTTTTATATGATGTGGCATTAATATTTATTTTTATTTGAATAAAAATTAACTTTTATTAATTTGTTAAAAATTAAAATTATTGTATTGTTGATTAAAAATATAATAATGTTTTTAAAAAATTCAATAAAAATAATTCCAAGAAACCCTAAAACCCACTCTTTTGTCTCACCCTCCTTTGCAGCCGACACATGCCAAGTTTGAAGATGAATAATCAAAAAGTCCCTAATCAAAAATGAGTAACCATTGCTTAGAATTCTCTTCAAATTGTTTCTCCATTTTTTGCTTTTTCCAAATCTAATCCTTGTTTCTCTCCTTCCAAGCTCTCCAATTCCACCTTCTTCTCACGCTACCATCTGCTTCTTCATCGTCTTCTTTCTCCTTTTTTCTCCCATGTCTTAATCGGAAAAACTCCGTTATACATGTCTACAAACCGGCCTCAAAGCTCCCCGACACAACTATTATAACTGACCCAGAAACTGCTAATTGGAGTTTTATTGCTCTGATATCTTCTGAGCATGTCATTGAGGAAGAGAGGCATACCGCTTTGTTACAAACCGTGGATTGTCAAACTGCATTGAACCTCGGTTACTCTTGCTGAGAGTGCATGGTGATGTGGAATTGATTTGGGGCTAATGACGATCGTCATATTTACCTAATTTTCCAAATGTAATTGCTAATTGTTCTTATGTTGAAAACGTGAATAATTAAATCAATATCAGGAATATAATTTAAATTATGTCATTTTACAATTCTCATTTTATTAGGAAAATAAAATTATTGTAATTTTAGTTATTTTTAATAAGAGTTAATTTTTATTCAAATAAAAATAAACATTAATGCCACATTATATAAAAATGAATAATTAATAGAAATGATAAGGGTAAAATTGGAATTTATTTTTTGTTGTCAGATCGTGAGTATGAAAATAACAACGTTTATTTTTTTAGGTATTAAATCACACGTTTTAATTAGTTGTGTATTTTTGTTCCAACCAAAAAATATTGGGTATTAAACGTCCAAATAAAAAATAGATGAGGTTTTTTTAAGCTTTTTTCCCGTATTTTAAATAACTTTTTGTACACATCATTTAAAGATTATATAAATTCCTAAAATTATTTATTTAACTTTGGATTTTTGGAATCCTTATAAAAATGTAAGGCTTTAGGTAGGGGTGTCAAAATGGGTAATCCGACCCGACACAAACCCACATGGGTTCGAGATTTTAATGGACGGGTTTGACCTGACCCATTTATTTATATGGGTTGAATTTACATACCCAAACTCAAAACCGTAAACCCAATTGGCTTAATGAGTTATATGGATACCCATATATAGATAAGATAAAATAATTGTAAAACCAACAAAAGTTTTCAAGTAACAAATTAAAAATATCTAGATATTAAAATAGAAAAAGCATCTTAAAATCCTAAAACCACAAATCCAAAAAACCATAAAAAAAAAGAAAAAAAAAACTCTTAATTTAAAAACCATTTGAATCTTCTTTAGATTTATTTTACATATTTAGCTGCAAAAAAAAAGATATTTCACATATCTATATATATATATATATATATATATATATATATATATAAATTACTTTTTAGTTTTAGCATTAAACCCATGGGTAACCCATGATTTTAATGGGTTTTACCTAGCTATGACCTAACGGGTTTTACCCATTAAACCCATTTATTTATATGAGTAAACAATTCCAACTCTAACCCACTAAAATCATGGGTGGATTCTGGTAATCCATGGGTATTGACCCATTTTGACACCCCTAGCTTTAGCCACTTTTAATTATATCCTTTGTAATTCTAATTTAGTATCCTTTAAATAGTTATATAGAAACTTAACTATTGTTATTATGTAGCACTAGGACTCAAGACCCCCGCGATGTCGCGGGGGAATATATTTCAAAATCGTTTAAAAAATATCAAACGAAAAATCATAATGAATTGTAATAATTTTGTTTTTTTTTTAATATCAAATCAATATATATTTTACAAAAATTATGATAAAGAAAACCCTCACAAGCATTTATTAATTATATGAATATTAGAAAAACATTAATTTGTAACTAAAAAACTATTCCCAAATGCAAAAAGCATCAAATAATAAACCAAAGGTTACAACGGTTTGATAAATAAACCAAAATATTCAACGTCAAATAAACCAAATGCTACTATGTTAAAATTAAACGGTGACAATAATTTATTTAAATATATTTTAGTAATTAAATATTTTTTACAAAATATGACAAACTTTAACCGAGAGACGTGACTATAGATATCAAATATACCAAAAACTGCAACGGTTCGTCAAATATACCAAATATTGCAATGGTTCATCAAATATACTAAAGATTACAATGGTTTGTAGAACAAAACCAAAAGTTGCAATGATTCGTCAAATAATCCAAATATTGCAACAGTTCAATTAAATAGTTACAATCTCATTTAAATATATTTTAATAATTAAAAATTAAGAACTAAAAATAATAATTTATGAAAGGTTACACCGACGGTAGATTATTAAATTTTATGAAGATTTATAAAATAAACTTAAAGTTGCAATTGTTCATGAAATAAACTAAATGTTGCAATGGTTCTACTAAATAAGGATAGAGTTTGCCTATTATCATCGTAGAACAAATAATCGTTGTATCAGGACAAAAAATTGGAGTTTCGAAAAGAAAGACAATATATAGAATTGAAAAGGCACGATTTTACAACTATTCGATAAGTCCATTACGTAGACGAACGTGTTCGTTACAGCTTTAATGTGTAGGGCTCATTTCACTCACGTATGTCCAAAATTATTTAAACCTCTATATTATTGTTTTCTCATGATATCACGTAAATGTTAAATGAATGATATAATTAAGGAGGTTATACTACTAAATATATCCATATGTAAACAATGAAATAAAACCAATTTTATATGTAGTTTATTGGTTTACCTAAAAAGAAATTCAATAAAACAACATGACCGTACAAAAATAACTGTAAGAAAAACAACCATAAATATTTAAACGAAAGGTTGCAATGAAAAGACGCAACCGTTCAGATGTGCAAATGGTATTTATTGGAAACGACATAACCGTAAAAAAATAACCGATTAAAACGAAAATTGCGATAAAAAGACGCAACCAAAATAACCGTAAAAAAATAACCGATTTAAACGAAAGGTTGCGATAAAAAGACGCAACCGTTCAAATGTACAAATGGTATTTATTAGATTGCTATTATATATAGATTATATATTGAATATTACTTTCTTACATTATTTATAAGCATTGATACAAAACTATATATAAAATATTATAATAGCGAAAAGTTTTGCCTGCGTATGCTTCAGCTAAAGATGGTTAGAATAAAATTCTTTCGAGGTAATGGAAAATTTTAAGTATTTGAAAGAGAATTTTAGAAAGTAAAACTTTTTTTACATTGTTTTTAAGTTGAAGACAACTTCGCAAGAACATTACAAATGAGAGGGAGAGGAAGTATTTATAGCCTTGAAACTACAAAATATCTAAAATATTTTAATCCTAAATCTAAAGAGTTCTTACATAATATCAAAATTATAATATTATAATTATCTAGATTATTCTATAAAGGTATATAGATTTTTATGTTTAAGGAGGTGGAAGATGTTTCTAGAGAATTTTGATTTGGCCAACTGAATAATTATTTGTTATTGGCCCAATAATTAAACTTGATTCAAAACCAAATGAAACTTTCAACACCCCCTCTTAAACTTGATTTTGCTACTCCAACCAAACTCTCCATCTTGATAAAGTCTTTGTCTTTGAGAGACTTGGTGAATATATTGGCTACTTGATCATGTGTCTTCACATACTCTAATTGAAAATCCTTGTTAACACATTCTCTAATGTAGTGATAGCGTGTGTCAATGTGCTTACTTCTATCATGCAAGACCGGGTTCTTCGCCAAAGCTATTTTCGACTTTTTATCCACAAATATCTTTGTTGGTTCATCTTGCAGCAAGTTTAACTTCTTTAAAAGGTTTCTTAACCAAATAGCATGGCGTACACATGACGTAGCCGCTACATACTCTGCTTGACAAGTGGAAAGAGTGACAA